TTGGGTGGGGCCTGCAGCCCGCGGCCCGAGGGTAAAAGGGGCTGTGGAGAGTCAGCGTGAGGGTACAAGTGTTCCTCATGAGGGTAACGGGGCTGCTTGGGGGCTGGCACCCCCTGGGCAGTGTGCGGGAATGATGAGAAGCGGTGGCCATCCTCCTGTATCCTTCATCCTTAGCAAGGGTGAAGCTTGGTTGCACGTTTCAGGAGGAAAGGAAGAGGACGTGCAAAGTTATTTTAGGGTCTCACAGAAAGCAGAACAGCATATATGATAACACGAAGGTCCATATTTCTTAAAAACCTGTATCAAATCAGGGAGACAATGTGGGGTTTTGGCATATTAGGAGCTAGTTCTGCAGCTCTCAACTTTTCTTTTTCCTTTTTACCTTTTTTTTTTTTTTTGGTGTAAAATGGGTATCAAACCCACATATTAAGGCCTACAGGGAAATTGAGGCAGCAGAATGTGGCAGCAGGATAGAAGACTTTCCATCGCACCCAGCCTCAGGGTACCAGCACTCAGGATGGGGCCTGCAGAGAGGGGCAGCTCGAGTGCAAACAGAGACCATTGTGTTGGGATATCAGGAGATAATTCCCCCTGCGGGCCGGTTCCCGCTGGGGCATTTCGCCGGGGAAGGGCGGCCCCAGGGTGCAGTCAGTGCCTCCAGGGCTGTGCTGTCTGTGCCCATGCCGGGGCAGCACTGCCCTCCAGGCACTGCGGCGTTTCTGGTCAGGCTCCGGGAGAGAGGGATGCAGGGCACACATCTGATAGAGGTGAGCCGGGCTTGTGCCGACCCCAAGCAACTGAGGGAACGACATTGTGCTTCCCACCCTGAGGGAGGATGGTTAAGCAGGGAGGTGCTGTCATCTGAAGGTCGGAGTAAGGCATCTAGTGAGTCTTCAGATCTCAGATGTGGCCCTTTTGACCCTAAAAAAATGGCTGGGATTTGTTACTGTGTCAGAATGTCCTTACCCGAGGGATAAACCTGAGATTGTTAGTGACTGCAGCTCTTGTCACCAAGTGCCACACCCTGTGCACATGGCCTTCCTTGGTGTGCAGCCAGTGCATTGACCCTGCCCTGGCACTTGTGTCCCTGGAATGTGCCCTGCGTCATTCTAAGCTGTGAGCAGCCAGGCACCTGCAAGGAGGGGAGGAGGAAAGTACCCTGGGACCATTGCCCCCCTGGCAGGGACAGAGAGGAGGATGGCAGACACACTGACCCAGGCAGGGGGATTTTCACTCCGTGCTCGGTTCTGCTGCTGATGAGCCATTGGTTCCTGTAACCAACTTCTGTTCCCTTAGCAATTATTTGTGAGTAACCAGTAACGTCACCCATAGGCTGAAGTTTTCAGTGAGGTTTGTCTGATATTCAGGAAAACATGTCTGGCAGAACATAGCCTAATAATGATGAGGCTATTTAATAAAAAAAGTAAAAATGCAGTTTTTCCAAAAGTGAAGTTTTCACTGTTGGCTCATGTGAGAGAATGACAGCATCAGGCTTCTGAGCTCTGCACTGAGCCTGATCAGGCTGTGATTGCCATGGAAATGTAGCTTGATAGTGCTCTAATAAAATTGATTCGTTCAATAAGCTCAAATAAACCTTTTCTCTTCCAACAATATCAAGTGTTTCTTTTTAATTAACACTTCAAAACTTTTCGATATTTCTGAATAAGTTTTCTCAGAAATAGGTCTTCAAAAGAGTGTGATTTCTAACAAGCCATGGCAACTCCTGCCTGATTTTGAAGGCAGTGTAGGGAAGGCATGGTTTGCCCAGTTGCCATTTGCAAAAGACTTGCACAGCATGTGGAACTTGAGGGCCCATTTGTAAGTCAAACATACTGGTGCTATTGCAACTGAAATACTAAATATTATGTTTTATGGTGTAATTCTGCCTCTACAAAAAAGTCACTGTTAACATTTGTCTTTGGGATACTCTTTTACTGTACTAACATTACTTAAGGCTTACAAGCCCTGCAAAGAGGTCTCTCTCACTGCAAGTTTTCTTAGATATTACACAAAAAATCTACTAGTTGTTCCTTCTATACTAAAAACTTTAAAAGTAGGAAAATATTCCATTACCATAAATAGATTTGAGGCAGTGTAATGTAGCTCTGTATTGTAAACTACTGCATCTTAAAATAAAAGCAATTATTACATTGAAATATGTATCTAATTACCTATGAGTAGATACAGTCTAGAAATTCAGATAATCTTTGGTATAATAAAGTATCTTGGTTAGGAGATGGGAAAGCTGCCAGAGCAGCTGGCATGAAGAAGTCACAGCTGCCAGACCAGATCCTGCCTCAAGCATGACACAAGCGGTGCCATTGATTTAATGGAACTTATTTGTGTGAATTACAGTTATGGGCTTGATTCTAGGCAGAAGACATAATATTAACTTATTTTTCAGAAAATTACACCCAAGTTTTCTCCCTAGCATGGTTTAAACAGGAAAGTCTATTCCAAGAGCTTCAGGAGAGAAAAATCTAGCTTCAAGAGTTACTTGCAATATTTTGCAATATGCATGTTGTTTTAGTGTCCCTATTTAATAATTTCTTAAACTTATCTCTCACATAGCACTTCATATATTCTTCTAAATTTGTGAAACATGATAGGAATACCAGCTGTCCTATTCACATATCTGTACGAAACAACTGATCCATGAAAGTATATGAATCAATATCAAAAGCAAATGTTTAATGTTTTCCAACTCTAACACTATATTGATGAGCTTTTACCAGGGAGGGGTCCAAGCTTAAGCCATGACTAATTCTGGCTCCAGGGAATGTGTATTTGTGTGATTTCAGTCTAGTTTATCTTTTGCTCTGCAAAAAAGTCCAGTCTAACTGTTTTGGATATAGGACAGCCACTCAAAGTAGCTACCCCAATGATATTTAAAGTGACTTTTTTTTGTTTCAGGTAGTCGAGAATCTGCTTTTGTACACGCCATCTCCTCTGCTGGAGTTGTTTTTGCCATCACCAGGGCATGTAGCCAAGGGGAGCTGAAATCCTGCTCTTGTGATCCCAAGAAGAAAGGCTCTGCCAAGGACAGCAAGGGCCATTTTGACTGGGGTGGCTGCAGTGATAACATTGACTATGGCATTAAATTTGCCAGAGCCTTTGTGGATGCCAAAGAACGGAAAGGAAAAGATGCCAGGGCACTGATGAACCTTCACAACAACAGAGCTGGAAGGAAGGTGGGTGTCCATGCAATAGATGCCTAGAGATGGTCTTGGACAGCTCTGGTGTGTCTGGGGCAGTTAATTCTTGGCCCTTGCTGGTCTCAGCAGCTATGGAGAAACACAGGAAGAGCAGGAGCCTGAGCTGCTGTTTCTATCTTCCTTGGAGGTTCAGTGTCACAGAGATGTACAAACAGACAGAATTCAACTGCCTAACAGTATTCCTGTTGGAGTCACTTCAGTCCCTCCTTGTGTGGGAAGTTAAGCAGGAGTCTAAGGTCAGGATCAGTTTGGATGGAGGTTTTATTTTGAGCCTAGGTCTTATGTAAGCAGGAGTTTTATTTTTTCATTGATACAGAATACAAATTCCTAAGAGAGGCTGAAGATCATACTGAAGAATAGGTTTGGCAAAGAGCAAATTCAAAATAACTCTAGAGAAAAAAAAAAAAAAAACATTCTATCCATTCCTGTATGTATATGGTAAACTTTATCACAAATGAGCAGAAATTTTTTAAAGAAAAAAAATCCAAAATACACATCCCTCCAAAAGGCAATGGCCTCGTAGCATGACCTGCAACCCCTTTCCTAAACATTGTATGAAAATACCATTCCTGAATTTCAGCTAAAAAAGTCTTTACCTTCACATTGAAGGTGAGTAGGAGGAGTAGTTGCCAGGTGTATTGCCCACCTCTGGTGCAAGGGCTGAGGAATAGCTGCACTAACATTTTGTGGTGGTAGCTATAAAAAGAATGGTGCATGAAACTGGAATATGCTGTTTCATTTTTAAAAACATGTTAAAAATTTGCTGCTCCCATGACATCTGAAATACAGAAAAAACCATTTTATTGTGCTAGACCAAGCACATCTGGAATTATTTGTAGAGACTTTTTATGTCATATCTTTATGTATATTTAATACATAAAATCTTCCTTAATATCTTCCTTAATGTGTATTTAAGAGGAATTAAGTTGTTTGTATTCTGATCTTTTTTTGTACTGCAAGTAGATTATTTCCCTGAAAAAATTTTATTCTTCAGCATCTTTCCTCCACCTGCCTATTGCCAGCAGGTGTAATTAATATGTAATGTAGGCAGATGAGGCTGTTCAGATCAGTGATAGGCACATGCAGTACTGTGGTCATGTTTCTGCTACTGTCCAAAAGAGGCTGAAGTCTACAACACAAAGATTTTTGTAGGGTCGAATAAGTTCCATGATGGGAAGTACTTCCTGTAGTATTTGAGCATCTTATTATTTTTAAGTTTTAAAAATGCCTCTGCCAAATACTAAGGTAGATTTATAGAAAAAGATAAAGAAATTTTAATAAATACATTCAATTTAAAATAATGAATATGTTCTCATATGCTCTAGGGCCTGCTTTATGGACAGAGACATTGTTTTGTATTCACAGTAGTGTAGGTTTAGCTTTGCAGGGATCTCACCACCGCAGCTGCCCCACAAGGGTGGCATTTTTGACCTGGGTAAGACCATCTGTGCCCTTGGCTTCTTCTTGCCCCCAAAAGGGGTGTTGATATATCTCTCTTAAAACTATTCCAAAAACTATTCCAACTGTGCTAATGAAAAAATAAATAGAACAAATATTTTTAATATTCTCATGTGAATCATAGAACATAATGTGCTGTGTGTCAGTATAGGAACATTGCTGACAAAAAAGAGATCATATTCCTATGTTCTTCTTACACTATTCCAGAAAGTTGTTTTAAACATACAAGTAGTTAAATTGATTTCTGCTCAGATAATTAAAACCAAGCATCTGCTTAAATCCCAGATCTGTGATATGGCAATGAAATGGGGCTGTGGGAATGCCAGTGACTTCTTTGAAGTATTCATATCATTTACAAGTTGGAAAGAAAATTGAACATCCTTTGGTTTTATAATACATTCTCACTTTATTACTAAGTGCTTGACTGAAAAAGGCTGCCCCACTGTGCATGTCTCACTTCTAATCATGGAGCTTTCCTCTCTCTTACCTTCCTCCTATGATGACATTCCTCTTGTACAAACTCTAAAAAGTTCATATTTCATGAACCCTTAAGGCATAATATTTATAGATCAAATATCCATATCTACATAATTAGGAATGAATTATTTACTCTCTGTGAACCCATCTGTTGTTCTCCAACATCATACAGATAGCTTAAATGTCTGAGATGAAGCTGAAATGGCTTTAATACTATCCAGATGTTAAATTAATGATAAGGATGATCTCTCCAGTGCAAACTAATGAAGATATTATCCTAAAATGTTGGTTAAAATCTGTATAAGCATTTTAAGTATACTGTATTTTAAGATTCTGCATAGGTCTGATGCCTAGCACAGGTACAATGCTTTACACAGTCTTTTAAAAATAATTTATATATGAATTTCTGGGCAATATTTGAAATGCTGTTCAGGGTAAAGGGCAACTTTATGGAGATGAGCTGGAGAGGGTCAGAGTGGTCAGCATGGTGATCCTGCAGCTGAAACAAAAGGGGAAAGGGGGCACCTTCACCTCCCAAGGCGCTGAATGATTGTGGCCATTTCTGACTGTTTGCTCCTGTCCAGTCTGTGTCCTGGCGCTATAGACCTTGCCGATCCTTGGGCTGACTGGCAGGAGCAGGAGGGCAAGCCCAGCAGGAGGATTGTGGGCACGCTGAGTCAAGCAGCCAGAGCAGAGCAGCCACTGGGGATGACTTGATGCTACCAGTGGGTGTCACTACAGACCGTAATTTGGAGCCCCATCGCTGGCCTGGCACTGCAGGATGGCTGGAAAAGGGCTGAGAAGCAACTAATCAATTCCACTTTGTTTTACCTGTGTATATTTATAGTTACCTGTGCATTTCTAAACAGGCTGTGAAGCGGTTTTTGAAACAAGAGTGCAAGTGTCACGGTGTGAGTGGATCCTGCACTCTAAGGACCTGCTGGCTGGCCATGGCAGACTTCAGGAGAACAGGAGATTACCTGTGGAAGAAATACAATGGAGCAATTCAGGTGGTCATGAATCAAGATGGCACGGGTTTCACTGTGGCTAATAAGAAATTTAAGAAGCCAACTAAGAATGACCTGGTATACTTTGAAAGCTCTCCAGACTACTGTATCAGGGACAGGGATGTAGGTAAGCCACTATCATTACATGTGAATGCCTTTATTTAAGACATTTGTACTTCAAAGGTCAAAAATTTTAATTTTATCAAATGTGTGTATATACATATACATACATATATAAATAAATCCATGCATGTAACCAGCAGGAAACAGGAAAGAAGATGTTTTGGAAGGACTCACTACAAGAACAATAGTTCCTTGATGTGCCTAGGTGTACAACAGGCAGTTGTTCTAATATAACTCAGCAGTTCCTGCCAGATGCTGTGGAGCCCTGGAGATGCTGTAAGGCAAAGCTGCTTTCAGTACAAGTTTGAGTTGTGCTCAGGAGGCAGGGCCATACTGGGCACAGCCGCCCTCACTCTTGTGCCGCACAGCTCACTCCAGAGCTGCCCCAAGTCCTGTTGATGCCACCTGCTGTTGCATTGCTTCCTTTCCACGTTGTTGTGCGACCACTGCAGTGCCCTCCTTTATCTGCACCCTCCCACAGTGCCCTGTGACTGTGGAGCCCAGCTGCAGACATGACTGTCCCCATCTAATGTGGGAGGCACAGCCTGTGACATCCAGCCCTGCCTGCAGCAGTCAGGGCAGCTCTGGGTAACAGGGCTGAGGCAGCTGAGGATGTGCAGGTGGATGGAAGAGCAGAGATGGGTGGGACACAGCAGGCTTGGCTGAGTGACACAGCTGTTTATTCCTCTTTATGAGGCAGTGTTGGCTCTGTCCATGACAACTACCACAATTTCTGGAGAGTTGTGCCAGCCCTTGTGGGAAGAGATAAAGTATTGGTGATGCTGTTAGCTCTGGATTTTCCTGCTTCAGAGGTTCGATAGAGACACACTTAGCAGTGTTACAGAATTCAAGGCACTGCCAAGCACAGGAAACCTGCTAACAGCTCTTGACCCATGTACAGTATTATCTGATATGGCAATTAAAAACTAGCAGCTAGAAAACCAGAAATTTGGAAAAGAGAGGCAGCCTGAGTAACGTATGAGAGAAGTTGTAGAACTAATTAATAGGTTGTATAACGGGCCAGATTGCAACCCAAATGGCAAATCTGTAAGTATCTGGATAGCAATGCAGCTCAACTCTTTTTGGCACTGCTGCATGTTTACAATCCAAGTTTGCTTGGAATAAACATTGCAAAACAGCTGTACTTAAATAAGAACAATATGTGAATTCCTGGTCATGTACTATTGACTTCAGTGAATGCAGAATTTCATCCAGTACAATTACATTGGACAGTGTTTCTGGTTAGTTGAGTTGTCAGCATAATTTTAAATGTTATTTATTATTTTGGCAAGTGATGTTTATTACCTGCATGAGCACATACCATTCCTTGAATAGTGGCTGATACTGTAAAGTCTAATCCAAGTGAATAAATGGACGTATTGTGGCATCATGCAGAGATAACTTTGCAAACTAGGATTTTTTTCAAAACATTTATCTCTTGGTGTTGCTTCATTCATTGTAAAAAACATTATTTTTTCCCTTGCTAGAAGAACTTGTACAGTACCCAATTCTATGTCAAAAAGGCATTTAATCATCTCTTTGTACTAAGGCTAATCTCATCTATCAGTCTTGTTATTGTGGAGGAGAGCGGGCATTTTTCACCACCGTGTATTACATGCGTTTGTATTACTGACAAGCCTGCCCAGAGATGGCAAAGTCTGATATATTTTTTTGGCTCAGCTCAATATAAGCAGCAGCTGAGGTGGTGCTTTTTTGCTGCTCAGAATTCAGAGAATGTGGTTGCTTGGAAGAGCATATTTTTAGAAAAATGCAGTAAACCTTTGTTGGTATGTGGGATGCCCTTCTGCTTGCATGGAGCAAAGAAAGAACCACACAAACAAAACCTGATCTGACTTTTAGGGAGATGATTTTGGCAGCTGCACCACATTTTTTTGGTTTGCCTTGTTGAGCACTGCAAAGTGCCAGTCTTGTTAATTGACTGCAAATGAAATGAGATTATGGAAGTCAGTTTGGAAATAGTTGGGGAGCATCTCAGTGTCAGCTGAATCTAATGCCACAATGTTTTAGTATGTCATTCAATACAGTTCTGCCTATCATTCTCCAGGGAATTCAAGTGATTTAGGGCTTCAGGGAAAAAAATTATCTGGAGGCTGATTAGTGTTGGAGCTGAATGAAGGATTCACAGAGAAAACGTTATGAAGCCTCATGACTTGACCAGGAGACAGCTTCACAAACTAAAATGTCCAAGCCAGTGTGCTCTGTGGCTTCATTGTGCTAATCCATAGGAACCACTGAGTTAAAAGTGCTCAAGGATTCTGCCATCAGCAGCCTGACCAGGAAAAAGGCAGATACCTTCTCTCCCCCACTGCAGCTTCCATCCTGGCTCTGGCTTTCTGTCTGAGGGGGCAGCTAGACATGCATACATGGAACACCCCAAAATGTAGTTTGTTGGGGGGGTTTTTTTGTTGGTTTTTTTGCGAGTTTTTTGTTTGTTTTTGTTGTTGTTTTTGTTTGGTTGGTTGGTTTTTGTGTTTTGGTTTTTTGTGGGGTTTTTTTGGGTTTTTTTTTTTTTTTTTTTTTTTTTTTTTTTTTTTTTTTTTTTTTTTCCTAGAAAGGAAAAGAGGGATAATTTATTTCAGGAGGGGTATAATATGGGAAATCACTAATAGTAACTCAATGGCAAGATAATCTAATAACCTGACCACCTCTTTCCTTGCCTTAAGATTCCACAAAGGACCAAATGAAGATTTTTCAGAAGTGTTCAGAATTCATTTAACCCTGCACACATAACTCTCCTGAAATGATTTTTACTCAAAATTTCATACTCAAAATTTGATAGAAACGGAGATAGAACATCCCAGAATGCTTTTAAAACTCATCCTAGGTAAACTGTTGTTTTTATCAACACATGGCTGTCTCTTCAGTGCTGGCTTGGGAAATCCCAGCCCCTCCAGACAGATCTGCATCCAGAGAGAACTGCCTGTTCTCTCCAGCCCTAATCTACTGGGTGTTGTCTATAAGATCCAGTAGCTCTTCAGAGCTACTTTTCTGTGAACATTTCCTTCAATTGTTTTTTCCCCAAGAATACTTGTAAGAAAACTATCATTGGGAATTTAACTGGTTTTGCACCTTTTTTTGGCTTTTGTTTGTATACATGTGTGTGTTTGTGGGAAAGTCTAATAATGGATGTTATTGCTTTACACCAGATTTTAATAAATAGAAGGAAAAAGCTCTCATTTTATACTAATAAATACATTTAAGGGCTTTAGGGATGGAAAGAAAATATTTTTCAACATAACACATGTTGATTTCCAAAAATAACTGTGCAAACTGAGAAGAAAGGACTTGATGTACAGGCTGCAAAGTTGGCAGTATGAAAAGCTGTGGATGTTTTGGCAGGTAAAATGTGTGTAGGCATGGCAGTTCCAATATTTGAAATAAAAACAAAGAGATTGTACAAAAGCTTTTTACAAGTTAGAACCTACTCCTCCTGCCTCATAAGTGATGAGGAGGTGCATTGCAGGTAGCAGGCAGAAAACTCTGCCTTATTTTGTGCAGTGTCTTCTGCTGCCTTCATCACTCAGGCCTGCCAAGGAGTTCAGTAATTTGTCTGACTCCTCACTGCTGGTTGTTGTTCTTTTTCCTTCTCACTAGAGAAGCTGCAGAGATTCTGAAGATGCTGCTTTTACCTTAAAAAAGGTTGGTTTTGCTCAAAAACTAAGCCTTTGTATGAGCTTATTTTCACTTTTGTCACAATCTGTGACAATTAAGTCCCCTGTTGTAGTCATTGGAGTAAATGTTGATGTTTTGTGGTCAGCATCAGATGATACCAGTTTCTGACTGTCTGTTAGTGGCTGAAATAATTTTGGTTTTGAAGCTGGTGGCAAAACTGCTGTTGAAAGCAGTGGGTGCATCCTGCTTAGGCTGTCCTTTAGTGCTGTGTGATTTCCCCTTACATCTGGAAATAAGAACACTGAACTTGGAAACCAACTTGTGCCTCAGCTGAGGAATGTGGTCAAACCTTTCTGGGCAGCTCCTGGTGGATGTGGGGGAACAGGGGGTCTTCCTTCATTTCCAGCAGCCAAATGACATGACTCCACTCTGTTCCTGGGTGGGAAGCTGTGCTGAGGTGGAGGGCAGTTTTGCTTTTTCACTGGTGTGAATTCCTGATACAGAATGTTAATCATCTGGGTCACAAGCTTAGCCTTTGTAATGTTTTTTTTGGTCTGAACAGAGAGAACAGGACAAGTACTTTTAAAAGTTGTTCACAGAATCAATTAAGTTGGGAAGGACCTC